GCCCCGCCCCTCCCGGGCAGAGCCAAGCCCCGCCCCCAGCCCCGCCCCTCCCGAGCAGAGCCCTTCAACAGCAGCGCCAGGCCCCGCCCCCCAGCAGCGGGAAGGTTCCCGAAGGGCCCGGCGCGGCCCCAGCAGGCTATAAAAGGCGGCGCGGGGGCTGCCGGAGCCAGTGAGCAGCAGCCGGGCAGGGAGTCAGGCAGAGGCGGCTCCAGCAGCAGCGTCTCAGCAGCTGAACTCGGCCCAGCGGCTCCAGGCCCCGGGGGGGCAGGATGCTCCCGCTCCGAGTGTGGCTTGGCAGCAGCGCCCCAGTGCCCAGGCTCCTGGGGCCGGGGCCCCACAGCCTCTTGGCCCAGCTGGTGGGGGACGTGCAGACGCACCTGGAGGAGATGGAGCGACTGAGACACTCCCTCCTTCTGGCTTCTCCCCTTCTCTGCGGGGAGGGCGAGGGGAGGAGGCCGAGGCCGAGCAGCCAGTCCCTGGCGGAGGGGGCTGGGAAGGAGCCCGGCTCCCAGGCGCAGGGGAAGGACAAGTTCCAGCTCTCCATGGACGTGAGCGGCTTCTCCCCAGCTGAGCTGATGGTGAGAGTGGACGGGAGGAAGCTGACGGTGACGGGGACGCAGGAGAAGAAAACGGCGTCGGAGGCTGGAGTCTGCTCCCACGAATACAGAGAGATCCGCAGAGAAACTCTCCTGCCGGAAGACGTGAACGTGGAGGCCGTGCTCTGCTCCCTGTCCCAGGATGGGCAGCTCTGCATCGAGGCGCCACATCTGGCCCTGCCAGCTGCAGAAGGGAGAGCCGTTCCCATCAGCGTCTGCCAGGGGGTGAAGGCAGGAGAAGGAAACCTGGCTACGGAGGGAAAGGAGCCGGGGAGCAGCGAGATGGAGACAGGAGGAGAGAGCGAGGGGACCAGCCCCAGAGATTCCTGAAACCAGCCACCGACTCCAGTAACCCTGGGACTCTGTTCTGTGCTCTAAGTGTCTCCCTGGAGGAGCAGGGACTGTGCGATGCTTTGTATTAGGGTTTGGGGGTTTGTACAATTTTATCCCTCTCCTGAACTACAAATTAAAGGATTTTATTTTAAGTATAAACTTTTGTGTCGTGGTGAGCTCTAGTTCCTTTAATTCTCTATTTGATGTTTAACCTGTAGAGAGAGACCCCACCCCTCATTTCTGCCAGGGCCATTCCCCTCCCTGTTTATAGCGATCACTTTCATGTGAAGGGGTGGACCAGGACCCTGCTGAGCGTTCAGAGCTGTGGGTTGTAGGGTCCAGTCTGAGGTATTAGAAGAACAATTGTGACAAAAACCCAGTCACTGTTCTGAAGGAGGGTGTCAGGAAGGGGGCTGGGATCCCAACACCTGGTCCACGATCCTGAAAGGTACTTGGAGAGGCTTCTCTGCCTCTTTAGACTCGAAAACCCTCTTTACGTGTCTTTAGAGTTTTCAAGCCTACCTCTCCATTGTTACCTTAAATCATAGACCCCTCTGGGATGTCAACTGAAATAGAGCGGAAATAAACAGTGTGTTGACTGCCTGTCAGTGTCTTTGAGTCACTATTTTGTCTAAGTGTGGAAATAGACCAAGTCAGTGCTCCGCCTCCTTCATAGAAACCCTTTTTCTCTTTAAATCAGTGGGGAACATGACCCTGGTGGAGTTTCAGATATGCTGAGTGTAGGGTCCTGGTTTTGAGATAATCAAAAAGTTGTGACTAAAGTCAGGTCACTGTTCTGAGAGTGTCAGTCAGGTCAATGATGCTCAAAGTTTTCCAATCGCTCCCCCCACTTACCAGAAATTTAATCTGTCCACGCCCCCCCTCCCCACCCCCATTACTGCACAGCCCAGGCTTCCTCAGCAGTGAAGCTTAGGCTGAAGGGGGAGGTGGGGGCAGAGCAGGAATGAGAACAGAGCTGGGCTGGGGCAGGCGGTGGGGTGTGGAGTTGCGGTTAGGGGCAAAGCTGCTCTGGGGACAGAGCAGGGATGGAAGTGTGGCACTCCCGCCCTGCCCTGCCCTGCAGGCTGGCTCCAGCCATGCCATGTGCTCCCCCAAAACATTCCTCTGTGCTCCCCTGGGGGGGTGCACCCCACACTTTGAGAGCCACTGGCTAAAGGGGTGGGCACTTGGTCAGGGAGGGGACTAGGAACCAACTAGCAGCACTCTGTTTCTAGCACCCCATCCTGTAATTTGCCAGGTGCACACCGGGGAGGGTCCTGGGGGGCACAGAGGAATAATTGTGATGGGAGTAAACTATAAAATCAACTTCTGCAAAGCTCAGTGCACAGGACAGTGGAGGGGGAGCCAAAGCGTGGCCTTATCACTCATCAGTGAATCCTATGGGAAGAGGCCTGTTTGGCAGGGCCAGCTGCACAGCTCGCTGCCCCATGGGGAAACCCAGCGCTTTCCTTCGCTCCCAGGCACACAGGGACTTCGCTAGGAGGCTGTGGCAGCAGAATGCCGTGTGTGTGCCAGCACGGTGGCTCTGAACCTTTCCAGACCACTGGCCCCTTTTCAGGAGACTGCTTTGTCTTGCTACCCCCAGGTGTCACCTCCGTTAAAAACAACTTGCTTACACAATGCAACATAGAAATACGAAAGTGTCACAGCCCACTAGTACTGAAAAATGGCTTTTCTTTCTCCTTTTTACCAGATCATTATAAAATAAATCAGCTGGAATGTAAATATTATATTTACATTTCATTGTACAATATGTACAGCTAGAGGTGCCAGAACTGGGCAGGGGGGCCTTACAGGCCATGGACTTCCCAGTTTTCTGCCACGGGCCTGGCTCCTTGCCCCTCCTCTTCCGCTGAGTCCCCACCTCCTGACCAGGCTGGAAGCTGGAGCCTGGCCAGGGTAAGAGAGGCCTGGGGATCCTGGGAAACTGTGGGAAGCTGCAGACGTGCCACCTGTGCAGGGTGGGGGTACTCAAGAGCAGCCCCTAGCCTGTGTCCCTGCCCTCCGGGCCCCCCACCCAGGGTAGATGGAGGGTCCGCGGCTCCCCACAGCTGTCTGCTCTTACCACGGCCCGGCTGCAGCTCTTTGGTCCCTGAGGCCCCAGGCCAGGGCAAAAGCTGGAGCTGGGTTGGGGTAACAGTCGTGCAGGCAGCTATGGGGAGCCGTGGACCTTCCACCTGCCCTGGATGGAAGGCCAGGGCGTGGGGCCAGAGATCCCTGCTCTCGGTAATGGTTTGAATTGGTCAATGAAAAAAAAAATTAGGAGATGACGGATGCCTCCCCCTGCCTCCCTTTTTTGGGGTCCTTTAAAGGAGACTTTGAAAAATTCTCATGCTCATTTTTCGCCCAGCCCAGGACAGACAGCATAGACCAGAGCGAAGGGTTTTCTTTCCGAGAGCAAAGCCAGCCGGCCTTGCTCTTGTCTCAAGCAGAAGCGGATTAGAGCTTTGGGGGGCCCTGGGCCGGTGCACAGAGAGACTGAGCAATTTGCCCAAAGTCACACTGAGTTTGGGGTAGAGATGGGAGCCGAACTCTGAAAGCTGATGCACAAATACCTTTGTTAGTCTCTAAGGTGCCACAAGTACTCCTGTTCTTTTTGGGGATACAGACTAATACGGCTGCTATTCTGAAATCTGACTTCCTGGATCTCCGGCTGGTGCCTTAACTGCAGAACTCTGATGTATAGTGGGGGCGTCACACACCTAAGCATGATACAGTCGAATTTTCAAAAACACTTTGTGTTGGACTGATTCTGCTCCCACTGAAGTCAGTGGTAAACCCTGGATAAGCTGAGAATCCTCGGGCTTAGAGTTTTCTGTGTGTTCTGTGTGAAAACCCTCAAAGCCCAAATAAACCCCTTCCATGTACCTGCAGAAAGACATCTTTACGCATCTCCAACTGCTCTTTTATCTGTGGGGTCTCAGTCTGGTATTTAAATGTAACATCTAGCAACAGAAAGAGAGGCAGGACAATTACAGCAGGTCAACATCTGCAGGGCTAAGGTTTTCTAAAGTCTCTT